AAGGTAAGAATTTCGAGGTCTCTTAGTGTGATGTTGTGACCATTCACTCATTTCCATTCTTATTTGGAATGCATTCCTCATTTGACTTGATTTTTAAGGATTTCCGGATAGCAACGATTGATTTGCGTGGTTCTCAGAATGGTGTTAGTCTGCTTAATCAAATCCTTTTTTTCTCTCGCCCTCTGAAAATCGATAATATTGTTCAATCAGGAGCTGAGGTCGAATGGAGAGGGAAATGTGAGTTGAAGGCCATCGTAGAGCATAATTGCAAAATTTGTGTTAACTCGCTTCGGCCATTTTAGTAATCAGAATGAAAGGAAACGTAACGTTATCAGACCCGTACTGACCTTTTCTTCAAATTTTCCCACTAATTATGGTTAGAGCGGGTGGAAAAGAGCGAGAGTACGTTGCCTGCTCGAAAACGCAGCGATTCATGTTTATTTCATATCCCCACCTGGAAAGATCTTGGACTACACTTATTGGCGAATTCTTCTGACTGCTTCTCCGAGCAATGCTCTAGTGTCGCCACATACAGCTTGACGTAAAGCTCAGCCTCGAAGGAACTTCTTTTGATTTCCTCACGACCTCGTTGAACCACTTTATTTGCTTACTCTTCAGGCGGGATCTCCTTCTACAACTCGACCAAACATTCAGTTAAAGACAGCTCCCGCGATAAAAGTGTCATGGATAATTGCTTTTCTATTATGAAACAGTAGCTGATAAGTAATTCCCCAAAGAAGAAAAAAGCAAGAAGAGTCCTCAAGAACACCACAAACAAAATTGCTCCCTGACAGTCACACCGCGCTGCGGTCTCTATGCAACCCCTGGCTCACAAATCCCTTTATCACATCTCCCAGTAGTGGATATCATCCAATGCAAGAAAAGAATACGGAAAACAACAAAAACACGGAAGAAAAACTCTTGAAAAGGAAAAGAAACTTTCAAAAACTCGGCGTCCGAATTTAGGGTTACGGTAGCGTGCTTTTAGTGTAGTGTAGTGCGTCGAGCTTTTGCACCACGAAAATTGGGTCGCTCGTGATTTTTACGCGTTTTCCTTGCGAGATGGGTTGGTTGACTGTATGTGCTCCTAATGAATAAAATGTAATGAAGGAGAGCAGAATCATTCATGGGCACGAGCGCGGTCAGCAAAAAGGACATGCAATTCCGATTAATGCCCGCCGCCCAACAAAGAACAACTGAGCGGCCCTCCGTCAGAGGGCATCTAGCAAGTGGGCGGTCCAACTGAGCGGGCGTTAGAACTAGAACTTTCAGCGGCTGTCCTCGCTCGCTGTGGAGTCGCGAGAGTGGGACAGTCTCTAGCTTGGGGGCTGTACTACTTGCACAAGGAAGGACGACCATGTACTACTCGAGCGCGGGGGCTGTCTTTAAGTGAACATAAATAGCTTTGAAGCCATTTATGTTCACTTTATTCCAAGCTGTGAAGAACAGCGGAAGTGAT